CATCTGTAGCCTCGCTCTTTATGACAACAGGGTCGTCTTGGTCCTGGGTGCTCTCTGGCCCATTGGATCCAAGATCTGAGCCTCCTGGCTCATGCTCTGACTCGAGTGTGTGTACTGTCTGCACTGGGACCAACCCCAGTACTCTCCTGAGGCATGACTGCAGGTTCCTTGGGTTTCCTTGCAACATCTACAGGGTTTGTGACTATCTGCACTCTGTCAGGTCCTCCTGGGTCACCTTCATCAAATACCACATCCTGTGACTCAAATGTTTGGCCTGTAGGGTGATGTAGACACACATATGCCTTCCTATTCTCAGCAAATCCCAACAGAATGCACTTGAGCGACTTCGCATCAAGTTTCTTTTGCTTTTCCTGGGGTATGTGAACATTTGCCTTGCATCCAAATATCCATATGTGTGACACTGAGGGTTTATTGCCAGTGAACACCTCATACAGCATTACATTGCCTTGGATGGCATGGGTTGGAGTTCTATTAATTAGGTGTGCCACATAGAGTACAGCATCACCCCAGTACTGATTTGGGAGTTTAGCATCACTGAGCATTGCTCATGTGGTCTCAATGAGTGTGCAATTCATCCTTTCAGCAACTCCATTCTCCTGAGGGGTATAGGCATTCATCTTTTCATGGTGTATACCCTTAGATTTGAGGTATGTGATGAAATCTGTAGAGCCATACTCTCCTCCACCATCAGTTTGTAGGAAATTGGGGTGCTTGCCCATCTCAATTTCAGCTCAGTTGAAGTATTCCTTTGTCAGGGCAGGGACTTCATCCTTGGTCTTGATTAGTTTAACCATGAGATGGTGGGAATGACCATTGATGTAGGTAATGAAATATCAGTGTCTGGTCCAAGCTGTAGTCTCCATAGGTCCATGGACATCAGAAAATGTCCTGTGGAGGACACATGGACTTTCTACATCCAACATTGTTGGTATGGTATTTTGGTGCTGCTTGCCTTCAAGGCATGCCTGGCATGAGAGCGAGTGTCTGGACCTTGGGTTTGTTATCTCCATTCCCTCTACCATATCTTTGCTGACAAGTCATTGACAGACTTAAGGTTTGCATGGCCAAGACAACCATGCCATGTTTCAAGTGTGGCCTTCAAATTTGAGGTGGAAGAATTAAGTGCTGTGAAGTCGAGAGTGGGGTTGAGGGCAGGTGATGGTCCATATGCAATTTGTGCAGAAAGGTATGGCAAGTTCATCCTAGCTGCGAGGATATAAAGTGAATTGCATTTGCAACCCATACCTACAGTTTTGCCTTGTGTGCTGATGAAACACCTGTCTCATGCAAAGGCTACCTCAACTCCCTTGTTGGTGAGGCATGCCACAGAGAGGAGGTTTGAGTTGAGGTCTGGCATGTAATAGACCTTCTGTAGTAGTATATGGCCAGATTTTCCATCTCCCAGGTCCATCTCAAGCTCAATACATCCAACAGCAGTGGCTGGTATGGAGCTACCATTTCCAACCACAACTGGCTGCAGAGGTGAGAGCTTTGTTAGTGATGTAAACCATTTGTGCTGACAGCACATATTGACTGAGGCACCAGAGTCAACAACCCAAGATACACTTAGGTCACTGCCATGACTAGATGCCATGAAGAGTTGTAAGGGGGGAGAGTGAGCTTCTGGCATGTGTGCCACCTTGGCTACTAGGTTGTCCTTCTCCTTCTCCTTTGGCCTTTCCTTTTCCTTTTCTGGATGGGATGAACACTTTGCCATCTTGTCAGCTTTCTTCTTCTTGCCATCTCAAGGCTTCTTTCTCTGTTTCTGATCATCTTTCCCTTTGCCCTTTGCCCTTTTTGTTGACTTGGGTCTTAGCAACGAGTGCAGTTTGGGCTGCTGCTGTCTTTCTTGCTCTCTCCTCAACAAGAACACTGGAGATTACTGAGTCTATTGACAACTTGTCATCTGAGGACATAAGAACAGTGCAGAGAGTCAAGTAGGAGGATGGTAGAGATATGACCATGGCTATGGCAACCAGTGAGTTGTCTAGGGACTGGCCAAGTGATTTGAGTACAGTTGCCTTCTGCCACATAGAGTTTAACTGGGGTTCCATGGGAGTGTCATCTGAGAGGGTCCCACAGAAGAGTTCACCTATAAGATAGGCTATTGTCTGTTTGCCTCTTCCTTCATAGCACTCACATAGTTTCTTCCAGACTTCAGCTGCTGTGCTTGCATGAAGCACACCACTGAGTGGTTCATCCTTCAGAGTTAAGGTGATCTGCATGCGAGCCTCTTTGTCCCTGGCTAGCCAGTCTGCATGCCCATTTGGGTCTGCAGTTGGGTCTGGTGCAGTGATTTTTCCACTGATGAGGTCCAACAGTCCATGAACATCCAGTACCACATTGATTCTGTACTTCCACATCTGGAAGTTAGAACTGTCATTTTCCAATGATGGAATGTCATTTAGGCAACTACTAGGCTGCATGGACTTGGCTGACAAGGTAGCAGTTATTGTGGAGGCTGAGGTTGCTGTCTGTGAGGAGCCAGCAGTTGATGCAGAAGGGTTCAACATTGTTTTAGCTTAGTTATGACTGTGTAGATCTAGTATCTGAGCAGGGCAGGGCTCATAACCTTTTGTAGGTTAAAGAGCTACAGTGTGAACAGAGGAAGCTATAAATAAAGGAGTGTAACTCAGCTTGAGTATGTCAAGACTATATGCAAACTGACCTAGAAATAAAGGAGTGTAACTAGTAGGGTTAGATATCATAGAGTAACAACTGTAGAAAAAATATCTCACCTCAGCTTGAGTATGTCAAGACTGAGGTGTGTTCAAAAGATGAAAACTAACACAAGTATGAGTGCATTACATAAGGCTGTGTCACTGAATAATGAAGAGCAGAATGTGCCACAACAATGGCATGGACTATAAGAACAGACCTCACATCTCCTTCTCTTCTCTTCTCCCACCCACCATCTCAACTTCCTCTGATCATTATTTCATTTCTAGATTACTTCAACTAGACTGCCTTCTCAGTCATTAATGGCCACTTTGCTCACTCTCACATCAGCAGGACTGCCTTGGGGTGTGCCATCTTGGCAGGCAATCACTTGGATTCCTGGGGAGCCATGGTCAACAGTTGACAATGCTCTTGAAGATTCCCCCTCACTCTATGTGCCCAAGTGGACCAACCAAGTCACCACACAGGTCAAGCCATATGTCACTATGGTGTTGGGCATGCCTGTCATGGACCAGGACTGCTACATGGCCAAGCATGTTCCAGACAGAGATTCAGTGGCACACACCACATGGGCTGCCTTCATCAGCAAGAGGTCCTCTCAATGGGGCATCAACAAAATTATCAATGAGGTGCTTGAAACTGCCAGCAGAGCTCCCAATCAAATGCTGTGCAATTTGGGCACAAAGAGCATAAGTGACATTGTCACATTGATCAAGGTGTAATATCACACTGATCCAGTTACCTCATGCTGAGCCTGTGCAGATCTACAACTGAATGACCCTGCTTGCCCAGAAACTGTTTGGGGATGACACAAACATAGGCAGGGGAAGCTTTCTGAAGGAGGCAGTCATCAAATTCTGCTGAATGATTCTCACCTTGAGTTGGAATCAGTATTGCAAGGGGGTCACATGTGATGTACATTTGATGGATACACTCTATGATGTGGTAACAGAAAACTGGAAAGGTACATGACAATTGGGATTTGAATATAATGGTGTCAAACATGATCTTTAACAGCATTCAGTGTGGAGGGGACTACCCACACAGCCAGTGCTATCAAATATTTCATTAAATATTTGTGCAAACTATTGAAACTCTATGTCCAATATGATGACCAGGAGTGGCACACTTGGGTGGAGCAATACATGGTGGACATGGTTGAAATGTTGCAAGTCATTTGTGAGGAGCCAGGCAGCAAGGATTCAGACAGTAAGTCATGTCAGACATGTTTGTTGCCACTGATTGTGAGATATCTATAGAACTTCCCAAAAATCTAAGAGACATCTTACTTGGTCTTGCAAGCAAAGATGACATCCAGGCCATCACCCAAGCCCTGCTGGTGTCAATTGAAGATCTCAATGGTGCCAAATCTGTTGAGTGTGTGGAACTTGATCTAGATCCCCCAATCAAGTCAGATTGGAAGGAAGGGGTCAAGGCATTGTCCAAATTTTCCAATGAGAAATTGTGGCAGAAACTTGGAATCCCTGATTAGCAACTTCTGTTCTTCCAACAGTGGACTGACCCTGATGGAATGATTGATCCCTGGTCAAATGAAGGCCAGGCATGGCTTCAAAATATGACAGAGAAGAGGGATTGCTTCAACCATGATGGCACCAACTTGTCAGAATCTACCATATGCTGGAGCATGTGTTTGAGGGCAAGCCAATCTTATTGATGGATGGAGTGGGACTGGGGAAGACACTTCAAGTACTTGGTGTGATTGTGTGTCTCGCTTACTATCAGTATGTCTATGCAAAGAAGAAGGCATTTCCTGGGGATTTTGGTCAGTCCATCACATTGTGATATTTCTGCAATGCCCTCATTGAGTTCTAACTGGTTGACAATTCAACACTCCAGATGGGAATATCCCAGACTTGTCACATGTGATTGTATGCCCTGTCAACCTGAAGCAGCAATGGGAGAGCAAGATCTGACATTTCCTAGTGCCAGCATCCTTTGATCTTTTCCCATACACTGGTCATTTGGATTCACACAGCACATGGTGGACTGAATTGTTCACAGTCAGCAAGCAACCATTATGCCAATGCATAATCCTTGCCACTCAAACAGTAAGTGAATAACTTCTCATGCACTCAATTATCTATTCACCATCATGTCAGGCCATCCAGGATGATGCTGTGACTGTCTTCACCCCACAGACCATCAAAGAGAAGGCAGGACATGCCATCCCTGGTACATGATTTGAGACAAATGCCCCCTGCATGCTATATGGACAAGAATATTGTCTAGTCATCATGGATGAGGCACACAGCACATGGAAGCACAATCAAATTCACTGAGCCTTCTGTGGCCTGAAGGAGCATGTGACTTTGGTCATCACAATGACAGCAACACCCATCACAACAAAAGCTCAGGTATGTAATATGAACTGCTTGGCCCATCACTGCTCAAATGGTCTGATAGGATTTATATATTATGGGACAATGGATGGGGATCCCCAGCTTTGACAACCATAATGAGTTCCTGGAGCTCAACAAGGAAATCAATTGTGCCAACTGCCAGGACTTGAAGGTGTTGTGTGAGGCAGGCATCAAAGGAAGTATCATTCACAGCATCTTCATCAGCATCCACAATCAAAACACACCAAACCTATTGTCTCCAGAGGTTACTTGTGAGTGGATGGTGAAGATATGCGATCAGTTTGTGCATAATGTCATTTGTCAGACAATCAATTCTGTGGACCACACTGACAACATGCTGTTTGGCTTGAAGCTGTATATAGAACATACCCTCAAGCTACAAATGTATGACAATGAGATGGGAGCACTAAGGAGTTTTGCCAAGGATTTGGTCATAGAAGATCCCATTGTGAGCACTGATACCAGAAAGGTAAGTGGCATAATTTATATATGTACATGTCCTTCAGCTCAAAATGGCTGTCTTGGATGGCCACTCACCTTCAGTTGTGCCCTACACACATTTTGTAGGGCTATTGCATTTGGCTGTCCCAGACAGCCAGATCTGTCCCTCCACACCATGAGTATAAACATGTCCTGATTCATCTTTCATTTCAGAATTTCTACATTGAATTCCAGCACTCTATGCTACATCCTATGCTTAACCCAAAGAACAGTGGTCATTGGAAGAAGCCACACTCACTCACTCATTGGCAGGAGAAGACAATCAAATTGGATACCCTTGCACAGGTCATTCACAACCACCTTGATTCAAATGGCCATGTGCCCTTGATGATGACTGAGGATGGTCAAACCCTCACCCTAGCTCCAGATTGCTTGCAGGACATGACTGACTATGGTGAGGATGACAGAGTCATCATGTACTCTGCCTTCCCATTGTCCAATCAGGCTTTGATCAATGTAAGTGTGTGGGTATATTCACTGATGAGGATCTCACACCTTCTGTAGATTCTGGATTTGTATGGCATCACTGCTACCAAGCTGAATGGGATGATGTTGCTGAAGAAGCACCAGGTAGTGCTCGATGATTTCCATACTTTGACACACATGAAAGGACATTGCATCCTCATCATCTCAAATGTTGGAATGGTTGGCTTGAACATGGCATGTGCCAATGTCATGGTGATTGTGGTAAATTTCTCAGATGTTTGTCAGGGCTGATCATCCATCCTCACATGCATCTTAGGACACAACATGGTCTGTGGTTGATGATGAGCAGTTGCAAGGCAGAATTTTCCACTATCCACAACAGAAGCAAGTGCACATCTACCAGCTCATTGTGCTCAGCACACCCATTGTCTTCTTAAACAACATCTCATTTGACAAAGGGCAACTCCACTCCACTTTCAAGGATGACAGTTTGGGTAGTGACAGTTTACTGTCAATTTCCTCAACTCAATCTGATGGTGGCAACATCAACCTAGATGGTGATGACAGTGGCACACAGATGAAGAAATTGCACAGTAAACCCATTCCAAAACAGCATCAGACAACTGCTGGTCAGGGGAAAGGGAAACATTGCCAGGTGGAACTATCCAAAAATGAAGGTGAGGAGAACACAGCATCATCAATGGACATTGACCTGCTGGAGAGCAAGCCACACAGTAAGAAGCAGCCCCATCAACATGAGAAACATGGCCCAGGCAGTTCACCCAAGGGTGCTGACAAGCAGCACAAGCACAAGTGTGGCAGCACTGTTGCTGCTGCAACAAATGAGGTGACATCACTCATGCATGCCACAGCAGTGATGCATGTACAGGAACAACTGGAACTGGTGACTTCACATGTCAGTAAGGACTCTCCAATGGTACCCCCATTGGATGAAATCATGGAACAAATCCAGGCCCCAAGTGGTCAAAATGACCTCGATGAGGATGAGGCAGCATAAGGAGAGAGATCTCCTTACTATGGGATTGGGTATTAATTTCTATATTATTTGTTTTATTGTTTTGTTACTTACTGTTGTGGGTACTATACTAGAACATGGCCAGTGCTGCTGGCAGGCACCTTGTTTACCATGCTGGAGCATAGCCCCTGTGGCATGTGCTACATGAAAGAGACACATTCCTCAACACAATCAAACCTATGAAAACATGTAGATAATCTAATTCACAATCACTGAATAACTGTTCCCTGTGCACGATGTATACTCGTGTAGAGATAGAACACATCCATGACTGCTGTGTGAGAGAGGTCAACAATGCAGCTACTCAGGCTCCTCACTCCCCAGGAACTGAGCTCCCAGCAGCTCATGCCTGATTTAAATTAGAAATATGACTACAGCAAGCAGATACATGTCACTCATGAATCATCCATGATCAGGAAACATTGTCCACAGACAAAGGGATACATGCTCCCACAGAGATACCCACCCAGCAGCCACATCAAGTCAATGAACCCCAGGCAGTTGAAATGCATAGCAGGGGACATTGACACAGAATGCAAACTCCTTGTGCTAATACACAGGCCATGGCAGTCCGTCATTGAGTGAGGCATTGATCTACACAAGCCTGAAACTCTGTGGACCTCCAGGCATGGTACCAAAACAAAGCCATGTGTCCCATATTTCTCAAGGGTGCACATTGTCTTCATTCCCAATGGCTCAAAGTATATTGGGCCTACATTAACCAACATCATGTTATGGAGGGTGAGTGTTGGATATGCACAGAAGATGTGATCGGCTGCAATGAAATTCAAAAATAGGTGACATGGCAGCCACAGTGGAGGACACAATGACATTGATCAAGTGCCACCTGTTGGCAAACAATACAACAGAACATATTGAAGACAACCCATATGGTCCTGCATCAACAGCAACAGCATGTTGGTGCATGATCAGATACCCTGAGCCTAGGAGGTGAGTGCTGCTTACCCAACAACCCAAAAGAGATGCACACACTGTTATGTTCAAGTAATACAGACAGGCAAGCCATGTGACAGCAGGAAACATATATATCAAGGTCCACAGGCACCCAGGAAGTCTCATTTGCTGGCAAGAGCACATGCAGAGCACAGGAACCAGAGACAACCACATCACAAGTTCGCAAGATGCTCATGAGTGTTGCAGCATTGTCAAAAAATGGCAAGGTCAACAGATGCAGTCAGTGCCACAGGTGATCTCGAGCTAAACCATTGAGCACAGTAGAGGCCTGTGCCAGGATAGTGAGGTCCTGGATGTTACAATATCCAAAGATATGCTGTTTGACCTCAAGCAGGAGATGATACATGGTGGACAGGAGAGAGGGATTGCACTACTTAATATATACTCCAGGTTGCTAGGGGTATAAGGTTCCCCCCTTACATGGCTCGAGATGCACTTGAGGGGTTGTAGACTTACATAGAAATAGCAGAGCAAGACAAATTCTCTATTGGCTTTGATGAGATTACAGTATAGTAGGTCAAGGAGTCAACCACACTCTCTAATCCATTGAACCCCCAACAACTGGGGAGCAATTAGTCAACCTGAAAATGCACATCAGGGTGGACATGGAGGGCTCAGGTAGGACATACCCACACCAATAGGACATGCAGGATGTCCTGCAGGTCATCCTTTGCATGAATGTTCAATGGCATCAGATGAGCTGGCTGCACTCTGACAAAGACATAGGATGTGCTTTGGCACAGTGTCTGATGGCAGGCTAAATCAAAAAAGACAATGTAAACCCTCCTGCCGACCTCCACATGAGACCTTGACACCTCTACATCTGCAGCAAACAGGTACTGAGTACCTGAGATCCAGATATTATTGTCACTGGACACCTGAACACTCAAACAACAGGGGCCAGAAGTGGGTACAAACAAGAAGCCCCAAACATTGTAATGTGTGGCTGTCACATCCTCTCCAGCATGCGAGCTCATGATGGACTATACATGATCACATTAAAGTTGCACACCCCTGAGCAATGAGAGATGGTGCAATGTGATGCACAAGATTTATTTACATGCTCAAACTACTTAAGTTAATGGCTGCCTAGTGAGGTGGCTGCTTGGGACTCAAAGCAGTGACTTTCAGATTACTTCTGGGACTGGCAGGACATTGACATTAGAATGTCTCTGTGTACAAGTGTAAAACCTTTACCTGGCAAGACTTCTTGTTACCAGGATTGGAGTTCAGCACACACTCACATGTATGTTTGAAGTGGTTGACAGGACCATGCTGTGGGGCCCACAACATGCACAACTCCCAAAGAGATGTAGTGAAAATTGACTTCCTATCTCCTTTGATGAAGAAGTGCAACATGGCAAAATGCACCTGAACGACAGCATGACTTAGCACCTGGGGGTAGTCAACAGGCTTGATGGGTGAGCCATTGATGTCAAATGCAGGGAGGGGGGAAACATTGTGAGTGGAGGCAGCACAAGTGAGCACATCCTTGATGTCATCAGGTACAGGCCATACTGCAGTAGCTTCCTCTGATGCAGGCAGGTGAGAATGCAAACATTGAAAGAAGGGGACATACTCACCATTGTGGGCAATGCTTTTGGGGTCATCCTTGATGTCCTTTTGCTATGATTAAGATCATGTAATGAGATACATTGATGCATCAGCTGCAGGAATGGATGTGGATGTACAGTGAACAATGCATGGCTGAGGCAAATGCATGGCATGCCACAGCTCTCACACACAGATGAAAGCAAAGTCTCTCCCTTCTTCAATGGTACAAGCTTTTCCAATGCCCTGATGTTGGAGATGATTTAGGGAAAATCTTGCTATGTAAAGCCATACATAGCATCATGCTGGATGGTGAGCAGGTTACATATCAGCTTGGTCTCCAAAAACTTGTGGCTGAAAGCATTCTTTGGGTTGTAACTGCCCTTGGGAGCCATGAAGAACCCTTGATGGTCAATTTCAAAGATCCCACTGAGTACCATTTCTGTCACATCATCAGAGTTGCTTTTCAGAATGGCAACATCACTGGAGGTACCCCCAAAGAAAAATTTGGTGTGGCTGGACAAATTCAGTGTGGAAGCATAAATGGCCAATGTACTCTCCTTGAGATTTTCTACCACAGACACAGATGACAGTGGAGACTCATTGCTACCATTCAACATGGACACATCTGTAGAGGCTCTCAGGGATATGTTGGAGTCAGTGCTCATAGAGCAATGAATGTCATTCGAGGCAGACATGGGTGCTGATAGAGGGTCAGTGCAATGGGAGGATACCCCCCCCCTTAACTGCATGTGGAGCATTTAAGGGTTTGACAATAGGGGTGCATGTGATGCAGATGGCATGAGGAGGAGAGGGTGGGGGGACATTACCAAGCATGACACCTATCTGCAAAGGTGCAAAGAACATGACTGACATCTGGGGCCAGTTGACTTGACAGGAATTGTATGACTGCCTTCCAGAAGGCATGCTCCCCAACTGTTTGTGCACATGGGTGCAATTGCATCCTGCTATTGATCAGTTGCTGCCCAATGTGCATGAGGTGATACAAGCAGTGGCCACCACGAAGGAAGGGGCTGCAGTTGAGTGCAAGTGTAAAGTGAAAGAGATGTGGCAAGAGCAATGGCATACCAAACAGCATTGAGAGACAGAATGTTGGAACATATGTCCCTTGTGTTTGTTTATTTACAGCATATGAGCTTACATAATAATTCTTCGCACTTAGGCAGTTAGTTTTTCCTCATGCACCTCAGCCTTCTTACCACAGAAGTCTGAGATGTGTTCACTATATTAACTCTATAGCTACCTTACTGATGTTCTACCTTAAGCCTTTCTTTCAGCCTCCTCTCAAGACAGAAGTCAATGTATGTCGCAAATTTCTTGGGCATGTGATAAGAACCTTATAATACATGTTAAGGGTGGCTGTTCACACTTCCATTATAAGCCATGCCAATGCCACCCATGTGTCATTGAAAGATTGCCAAAAATGGGTATTTGTACATAATATTTTACACATTTGCACTATATCTTAGATAAAATATCACATATTTGCTATAATCTAGCCAAACCTGACCATTATAATGGCAAGTGGTCCATTACATGCTGCTTACAATGGGGGCACGTGACAATGGACCAAATAAATTTGTGACATAGCAAGTGTGAGTGTGGGTGAAGTGCTGGAGTCAGTTCATGATACAACTGCACAATACATGCAGTTGCCTACACCTGAACAACACCAATGCCACCAATAACAATGTGGTTGCCTCCACCATGTGTGTAATCTGTCTGTGGGAGCTACTGCAGAAAGAAGGTAATGCAGGGGAGGAGACCAAAAAATGCAGAACTGATGGCATCAGCAGGTGACTTGGTGGTCATCAAAGACCTCCCCAACCTTCAACATCACCTGAGCCCAGTTGATGCACATCTAGCATGCAAGCTGTGGGATGGACTTCTGGTGGACAGGTCATGTATCATGTAAGATGGGAAAGGGTGGGTGTGTGATGAATGTCACTGAGGTATGCATGCAGACCAGATGCCCAAATATGCACAGAACAACAACTTGTGGATTGGCAAGGTACCACTGGCACTGCACAAGCTGAACTTTGTGGAGATGTTGTTAGTCGCACATCACTATCCACAGTGCTATGTATTCAAGTTATATCCAAGAGAGGCCATTTGCTCTCAAAACCTGCACCATCTCCAATGTGCCATGGCAGGGAATGTGACCTTATATGAAATCAATGTCCCTGCTGTTGTGGATATGCTCGAAGGCAGATTGATGCCACAGACCATTGAGACATTGAGTAGTATCCTTGCAATCACATTGGTGGGAACAAAGCAACTGCCTACAGATTGGCTCACCTGCATGTTTCATGTTCGATGGGATGCAGTATTGGAAGCACTGAAATGGCTGCAAGTGAACAATGAGAACTATAGTGATGTGATGGTATCCAATGCTCAGATCAATGAGTTACCACAGGATGGCATACCTGCAGAAATAGAGGTGATGATCCATTATCAAGATAGCGAGGAGGCAGCTGTGAGGGAAAGAGAGGGGTATGTGATGAACAATTACATGGTCAACAATGGTAAGATGTTGCATTCAGAAGTCCTCATTGGAACTGGGCTTGAGATCTGTCTTACAGCAGAAATGGAACCTTTGAATGATGAACCATCAGTGGGGGATGACCATGACCAAAGTGGGGACATTGATGACATGGACAGTGTTCTTGTGAGTGATAGTACATCCAGCAAGCATTCAATGTCAACAGCATACTCAATCATAGGATACAGACAAAGGAGATGTTACACCATTACATGTCCTTGGAGTCACAGATCTTGAGCAGAACAAGGTGCCCTCTTCAGAGTTGATGGCCCAGGCACTTGCCAATTTCAATGATAATACCCAGGAAGGAGGATATGTTGTGCTTCACAGCAATGTGGCAATCAATGACTTCCCTCCATCAACACAGTCCCCTGCAATGCAGAAACCTCTTGGCACAGCCTTCCCTGTGCTGTTTCCTTATGGCAGGGGTGCCATCAAAGCCAAATACCCTGTGAATATTAGTCTGCATGAACATTGTAAATGGGCAATGCAGTATCATGATCATCATTTCACTATGCACCATTTGTTTCCAATTGTGCTTGTTCACCCTTATGCAGAAGTGAGAGACTATGCAATTCATGCATCTTCAGATGAGGTGGAAGGACTTTGAACATGATACACTTGCCTTGATGTCTATAACCATAGCAGATCTCAAGCATGCAGCAGCACAAGAGGCATGGCATGAACTGATTAGTAACACTTGGGTGGGGGCCCTGCACTGTCATGTCATGGTGGCAAATGGACAAGTGCTTGGGTTGGATAGCACATGGGCCAGTTATTGCAGTATGATCTGGGTACCTGTCTAATGCTTGGAGGGCCCTCACTTTGGTTGACTATAAATCCCATCAACATACACAACCCTATTGCACAGATATTTGCAGGAGAAGACATAGATTTGAACAAATTCAATGCACACCTGGGCCCTGATAGCAATTGACATGCTGAAAACATCACTGTGAACCCATATGCAGCATCTTGGTACTTCCATTTCATCATTCACACCATTTTAGAGACCCTGTTTGGCATTCAGCACTTGGGGAATAAGACCAAGAGTCAGGTGGGTGTGCTTGGATGAGTGGCAGGTTACTTTGGAGTTGTGGAGGTACAGGGCAGAGGAACACTTCACAGCCATATGCTCTTGTGGCTCACCAACACTCCAAATGCCAATGAGATGCACACCTTGTCACAACAAGAGAGTTTCTGTGATACCATCTGTAATTATATTCAAGTGAATATCTGCATGCATCTTGAAGACCTCATGGAACAGGACCTGAAAACAATGCCCAGGGATTCTTAGCTCGCATATTCATGACTGCATGATCCATGCACCCCAGGATGGCAACAGCAAACACATGACATTGAGCAACAGTTGGTCAGGTCACAGCAACTCCACACATGCTCGAGGGCGACATGCCTTCACATGACATGCAATGGACTGATTTTCAAGAGAAGAGCCCCCTGGCCACTGAGCAATGATGACTATGTGGACAAGCGCAGCAACTGGGGACCACAGTGGATGCATGGGTACATAAATGCATACTGCCCAGCCCTGCTAATGACAATGAGGTGCAACAACGACCTCAAGATAAACACCAATGGAGCAGACACTAAGGACATGGCATTCTATATCACAGCATATGCCACCAAAAAAACAGAAGAAAAGTCACAACCTTTCTGCATTGATGGCTTCTGCTCTGCCCTATCATATGAATAACCTGAAGTATGACAATGTGTGTGAATGAAACTGGCTGTTGATATACCACTGTATTAATGTGATCAACCACAAAGCCAAATTGTCAGGGCCACAGGTTGTATCATACCTCATGGGTTATGGAGACACATTCACATTGCACAACTATGCAGCATTGTACACAGGCCCATTATTTAGCACAATAAAAGCATTGTATCCAGAGTTTGTGGTAGAGTCCACAGAGAGGTGAGCAAATATGTCAGTAGTGCATGGTGATGCAAGGCATACTAACTTACACATGTGTGCAGGTATGCATACCAGCCAAAGAGTGGAAAAGAGGAGTGCACAGATGGTGATGACAACAATGATGTCATCATGTTACTGTGCAGCCAGCAAGGGGAGCTGTACATGTGCACCCAAATGCAAGATTATTTACAATGCAGCACAGAATTGGACGATGTATTGCTTCTGGCATTTGTGTGCAATACATGGGAAGAACAATACACTCCATCTGACAAGGATGGTAATCAGTGGACATCTCACACAAGGGGGCAGCCAGCACACATGTGCTCACCATATCATGAGGATCACCTGAAGGCTCAATCACACCACCATGTTTGCCATGTCAAAGGACATAATGTGCTCCCTCAAATAGTAGGGCCATGGCTGCCCCATCATGATGACAGCAGCACTTACAATTTCTACTGCATGTGTATGTTGGCATTGTTAAAGCCATGGTGAATAGCTGCCAACCTCAAGGGTAGAGCTGAGGATTGGAGTGCCACATTTGAATGTATGGAGGCCTCCTGTATGCCATGGGTGACATGTGTGTTGGCTGGTTTGCAGTACTATTATGACTCGAAATCAGCCTGTGAAACTGCATCAATTGCATACCCAACTGAACAACATCTGTGGCCAGTTTGCAATCATCAATTGGCAGACATTGTCAAGGATTCCTTTGACAACCAATCAGGTTCTGACAACTGGACTGAGAGTCTGTCAGAGGCAGATCTTGTGACTTTCAAATGCAATCAACTTTCAGCTTACAAGCAGGGACATGCGAAGCAGGCCATTTCCATAGTGCTGCAGTATGGAGTGTTCATGCCAACAGCTGCATGGGAGCAACTGGTCAATTACTCCTATTGAGTCACCATTGGAAATGACATACCTCAACTAGAAGTGTGGATGGTCACAATGCATGCCATGTTGGGCTCTGTACCTGGTTGCCAGTTGCAGGAGTCAGAGGTGGAAAACAAGGATATTGACCATGGCGGCATAGTGAATAATGATGGCATGACATGCTCCGATGTAGGTGAGGCCTACTACATGCTTGTGCAGGTGGCTGCCATGGAGAACCCACTTGAGCCTATGGATGTCAGTGACTTGTTAAATGATCAATGGCAGGTGTACAACATTATTAATTGGCACTTACAGCAGTTTGTCACTGGAGGCAAACCCAATCAATTGCATATGATAATACCAGGCGAAGGTGGTGTTGGAAAGTTGAGGATGATTCAAATGATCATGGAAAATTTTGCACAGAGGGGTATAGGTGGGATGCTTGTGAAAGCAGTGTACACAGGCATTGCTGCTTCAGTGATTGATGGGAAGATGTTGCACAACATATGTATGGTCACTCACAACAAGAGAAGCAAAGTCTAACAACAGCATGACAGGCATAATACTGCTGAATGGTGGAAAACAATCAGCTCAAACAATGAAAAAACTTGAGCATTACTGGCATGACAAAAGCTATCTCATCATTGACAAGATGTCAATGGTCTCACATCCTTTATTGGCAAAAGTGTCCAACATCATATGTCATGCATGAATGGGCACAGATGCCATGTCAACTGACCTTCCATTCGGTGGGCTGAACATCATCTTGGTAGGTGACTTCCATCAATTCCTGCCAGTGACTACAAAAGCATTGGCACTGTTATTTTGGCCAGGTAATGTGGAAAAGGATACACATGAGGAACTTGTGGGTTGGTGTATTTATGAACAGTTTGACATTGTAGTGTGCCTGAAGACTCAGGTAAGAGTGACTGATGCTGATTGGATTGATCTCCTGTGTCATGTCCACAATGGCAGCTGCACCAAACATGAGATAAACATGCTTTGCAGCCTTGTGATGGGGAGTCCTACATGTCCTCCAACCAACTTCAGATCCTCGCCTTGGAAAGAAGCTGTGTTGGTAACACCATGGCATGCTGTGCAAATGGAGTGGAATGTGATGACAGTGAAAGAATGAGCAAGCATGGAAGGTTTATCACTCATCAGCTGTCCTGCACAGGACACCATAGGAGGTCATGTGCTCACCTTGCCAGAGAGATCCACTGTGGCTGCCAATCCAAAAAGTGGGTGCAGGCACAATTGACTTGAGCAAGGAGGGCTGTCAGACAAGATGGTCCTTGCCATTGGCATGGATGTGATGGTGACATTTAATGTCACAATGGATATTGACATGGAAAATGGGGTGTGAGGCTGTGTTGTTGACATTGTGCTTGACACAAGGGAGACTGCCAACAGCCTGCTGAACAACATGATTCAGCTGCATTACCCTCCTTTGTATGTGCTTGTGGAGATGAAGCATACCAAAGCGAAGATTCTACCAGGATTGCATGCAGGGGTGCAGCCAGTGACACCTATCTGTAGAATGTTCTCCATCCCAATGGCTGCTGGCAAGCAATCAACAATAACCTGAATGCAGTTGCCAATAACACCTGCCTATACTTTCACAGATTATCACACCCAAGCCCAAACACTGGAACACTGCATGGTTGACATTGGCATGCCTCCTAGTGGTCAGCTGACACCATTCAACACATATGTTGCACTGTCTCATAGCTGAGGGCATGACATGATCCAGCTTCTAAGAGACTTCAATGACCAACTTTTCACTCAGCACCCTAGTGAACACTTGCAAAGGGAAGGGTGACTTGAGTAGTATAGTTCGCTTTTGTGTGCTTAGTCAGCACTTACTTACAGTTTGTTCATACTGTAAGTTTTTACCAATAGACAAGTTACCCCCAAAGATGAGAACAAGTTTAAGACTGCCACAGACTGCCCTAGACAGTCTCCTATCCTCCTACACTCTTTGCTCAGGCTAAAGGAGCCCCTTTGGGCTTACTCTCCCTCTCAGATTCTGGTACTCCATCCTCAATCCACACTATTATATTTCCTCACAGCAGAGGCCCAAAAGAACCTCCAGAGGTCCCATTCTCCCCCACTCTCCCCTCTCACCCCTCTGCATGAATCTCAGCTCCAGGCCCATCCCCTGCCTACATACTCAATCCCACATCACCAGCCATCAGCAGGTCCTAGCACAAGCACCCCTGAATTTCACAGTGCTGCCCATGGGGGGAATTTGGGCACTGCCAGGGACAGCAATACTGGCAAGAAATCCAATGCCAAGGGTGGGAAGGCAAGCAAGGGTACCCATAGGCATGAGTAGAGCTCATTCATCTGCATGGGTGTAGGTTCAATGTCATCATGTCTCACCATGTCATTTGTGTTTCAGTATATACTTTGCCAGACATTCTCTATATCACTGCCCTTCTGTCAAAACATAGACTGTGTCAGCTTTGTGTACATAAACCACTCATTTGTATGGAATTGGTTGACATGCATGATGACCTTGCATGAATGCTGAAGACATGCCAGAATTGCATTGCTGCATCAGGTTTGTAGTGAGTTGAATTGACTACTAACAATCACCATAACATTGTATGATGCTGTTGAATGATAGTGCCAGGGCAGGCATGATACAAAAAGAACCACAATATTCATGCATGAGCAGTGCACATGTACTGGCCATCTTGGACAGCTATGTGCCACATGGCCCTCATGGTCATGTGACTGAATCCCCACAGCCAAAGTGGCTGTCTTGGATGGCCATGCACAAATGTAGACCTCTTGGTCATGTGACCACATCCCACATCTGATGTGGCCTTCCTGGACAGTCATGCACAACAAAGACCTCATTGTCATGTCACCCCTTCTCCACATACAGTGCACACTGGCCATCTTGGACATCCACTGCCAGCAATAGCCAGTGACTACAGTTGTGACTGTGGACTAAATGATCCAATGTTGCAACTGCTATGGTCTACTTGTGGTCACCCACCCCAAAACAGTGCACCAATGCATGTTGAGCATTCCACAGAACTGATTGTTCTTGACTATTACTCCCAAATATTACTCCATGTGTTTCTCAGAAGGATATGCAAATTCCACTCAAATGTTGAAGGAATTTATTACAGATGCCCTTCTGGATGCTACAAGTTTGAACACTTACTCACGTTTCTACTTCCAGAGTGTTCATAACCCTTGTGCCACATCAACCACCTGACACACCTGATGTAGTGGTACCAGCACCAACTCAGGCCAGGTGAAGCAGATGCTGAAGTTGTACCTGACCTGGATGAACTAGAGCCAGGAGTTCACACATTGTGAAGGTGATTGTTACTGGCATTGATGTAGGACTTTTGAGAGGCATGGGTATCTGCAACAGATCAGCATGCCATGGCTGCAGCAGCTGGTCGCATCATGGCAGGATTGTTTAGGTATCATGTCAGACTCCATAGATATGGGCCAAGGTGGAGCCATGCAATTGGTAGCTGCCCAAATTCCATTGCATCACAGTACTAGAGAAGGCAAGGAGGACTCACTAGCAGGAGAGAAAAAACCACATGGGATGTGTGTTGCTTTCATTTGATTGGATTGCCATGCCATCTACTCCCACCCACAAAAAAAAAGCCAAGAGATGTACAATAAAAGAAATTGAGAAAGTGACTTCAATGCCACAGATCATGACTGGGTAAATGACAATGTGGCACCTGCAATGTGAGTGAACAAGCAAACCAAGTGTATTGGAGGAGTGAACTCAGCCTTACTCTTGCCTATCTTGCTAGCTACCATTGTCCATTCTCCATTGGTGTTGTTGATTCTCATTATGTGATGTAGCAGAAGACCCTGTAGTATCTCCTCCCTCCTGTTGTACATCTCCATCTTCAGAAGGTAACAACATTGGGGGGTGAAAATATGTCATGAACAGGTTCTCCTCCTCAGGTAACAGCATTGGTGGATGGAACCCAGCACTGAACAAGAACCCTCCTGCTGTTGCTACCACACCTCCAGCATTGGAGGAAGATGACCCAGCACCACCTGAATTCCCATCATTCAGGGTGGATAACAAAGTAGATTCTGAAGATGCACCAGAAACCAAAGTTGCTGAGGAAACAGCAGCAGCACCTGGTGATGACAACCCACCCTCACCACCAGTTGCCCAATCATCCAGCAACAACATCAGCAGATGAATGAATGGCTGAGGGGACCAATCAGGTTCAGCAATCACCATCAGAGGATGCCAGAACATGTTTGAAACTGATCCATGGAACACACCATAAGGAGTGAAAAATGGGAAATCCATGCTTGATCTCTGCAAGTGAGAAGAGAATGCATGGTGAGATGTGAAAGGGTGATGTGAGGTCTGCTTGTGAAGGATGTGGAGGAATGTGGTGCATGTGAGACCCAAGTGAGCTAGAGGACAATGGTCCATGTACTGCTGCAAGGGATGACTGTGGATGAAAATGTGAGATACCAGAATGGGAGAGTGAGTGTGAGTGACTGTGTTCATTTGCCAACAAAGATGACTGTGGGAGCAAAGAAAGAGATTGGGAATGTCCATGACCATGTCCTTGTGAGTGTGACCTTGAAAAATTCTGTCTCTGGACCTGAGACTGGGGTGTACCCACTGACATTGCTTGTGCCTGAACTTTACTCTGTGTGGACATTGACTGCAAATGCACATGGCCATGTGGTTTCGAAGCCTGGCTTTGAATGACCAGATATCACTGAGGTTGGGGCAGTAGACACCAACATCATGCTCTCTGCATATGACAAGTATGAAACCACCAATGAAGGTGGTTTGCTCAATGAGTCAGTGCTCATGTGGCAGTGTTTAGAGCTTCTGTGTTCATCTACATCTGCCTCCCCATTTCCCTCTCCTTCCTTTCCTGCTCCAGCACCGCTGCCAGTAGCAGCAGCTCCTGGACTCTCTTCTCTGTCCACCCCATTGACACCCAAAAATGGAAGACTGGCATCCAAGTGAAACTGGGAGGACAGATAATCCAGGTGATACAGACCAGGGTATGCATGATGTTCAAAAGTCCCTGCATAGGCATGTCCTAGGACACCTCCAATATGGATCCCACCTAATGTGATTCCATTTCCTGCCCCTCCTCCAAGACCCATGCTACTCATGTTCATGGGCATATTGAGATTCAAGATGGGATGGACCCATACCCAGAGATAATGTTGTCACCACCCAAAGCTCCCATCAACTCTGACCTACTTGTCCCCACCACACCCACACTGTGCACACCAACACCATGAACACCAACATTTATGACCCCATCTTCCCCAAATTCATATGCAGCAGGCTGCATCATCGGATCTGGAGTCAACATTGGGGATCTGTCTCCCATCAGTAAATCACTTTTGCTGGCCAGAGCTGTCCAGAGCTGTCCAGCACTGGACAGATTCCCTAGGACTACCAGCTCAAAAAGTGGTCTACTGATGCCCACACTGCCACCTAACCCTCCCAGGCCAGTGTCACCATTCAACTTGCTCACATTGAGGGTATCTACATTTGGAGAAACATGGCAACTCAGGCCAGGTGAAGCAGATGCTGAAGTCATGCCTGACCCAGATGACCTAGAACCAGGCATTTGTGCATTGCAATGGTGATTGGTAGCTGTGACAGATCAGCATGCTGTGGCTGCAGCTGCAGCAGCAGATGTGTCATGGCAGGATCATTTATGTATCATGTCAGACTTCATAGATATAGGCCAAGCAGAGCCATGCAATGTGTAGCTGTCCAAATTTCTTCACATCATGGTACTAGACAAGACAAGAAAGACTTACTAGAGGCCACATCTACAATACCCCAGAACCAACCATGGGTTTATGTCAATCATCCCTCTCATGGAGATCAATGAAAAGCTGATCACTCATGCATTACAAACAGTCTTCCCTTCGTTGTCTTTCCTCCAGAGTGGTGTCATATGACAGTTATAGCATTGTGTCATCCCATTTGTCCAAGCTGAACACATTGGGCACATACATCACCAGCATGATCCTGTAATGAATGAACCCAATTGAACAAGTATGGTGTAAAATATGCACATTTATTTTTCACAGCCACACTGCCACACCACCATGCTCATTCGGCTTCATTGTTACTTGTCACAGTCATGCAACCACACTACCATGCCCTCTCAACTGTGTCATTACCTTCTGCAACCATGCCACCACACCCATTCAACCATGTCATTACTTTTCACACACAACTGCACTACTGCACCCTTTCAGCCACATTGTTACCCTCCACAACCACACCACTTGACTGCATGTCACATAACAATACTACATGTATATTCATATATGCCTACATAACATAACAATCAATCTCTGCACATTAATGATTGAATTTTGCATGAGGTATATAGAAACAACAATGATTGTATTGGCTAGTAAATTTACCAAGTGGTGGGTAACATGAACATGAATGTCTTCATTTTCAATGACAAGGTGGTCTCATATCAATGTTAGTCATTTGACACATTTGGGCAGATGTTATTGCTGGAAATCACAAATCACATTGAATGAATCATTATGAACATCAGTCTACTGTTAGGGACAGACGTATAGTGAGCAGGGAGGGGAGGGGAAATGGTTGGCAAGTTCACAGATCAATATCAGAGACATCATCATCCTTCAGCAACATTGTTTGATTGAATTGAGTGGACCATGGGTTGGGTGGGGTGTTGTCATCACTGTCAGACAGGAGCTCTTTCACCATCACCAGCCCAGAAATGGGCCCTGCAGGTTGACAAGGCCAGGTGGGCAGTGCATTTGCATTAACTGTAGATATTGCTCAGTTAGCATGTTGTCATAGAGCTGGGAACACATGACTTATGATCCTTGCATTTCTTGCAGAAGGACCACTGATCCATCGCCTTGGAGGAGGATAAGACAGTGATTGGGCAAGACCTCTTGCCTACTCAAAGAAAACCAATTTATTCTGTTAGTAAAGATGATAGTGCTGGAAATCATTACCTGTCTCAGCCATGGCATTGATGTTGAGCTCAGCAACAGAGCTCAAGAGTTCAATTACTTCACTTCCATCATTACTCATTGCCTCAATGTCCATTCCCACAATGTCCAACTCAACTTTCCACTTATTGAAAACAGCAAGTGGAACCAGGTTTCAGGTAACTGTTCAAAAAATATGAGTGATTGCAACTATTGTGCTGCAGTGACATACCAAACCACAAGTTACTATCAGCTATACTTGCCTTCTGACATCCCTTGAAACAAGCAAGAACAATACTGTTTGGGTGGACAGCTGTGGAGAGCTCAAGTTTCCCATTATTCAGAACAAGAAGTTGCCAGTCAGGTTGAGTCTGGGAAGTGGTATTAGACTGCTCACAATGTGCATTGAAATGTCTGAAGACTTTGGGGAACCAAGAATGAAGATGGGTGGTGATGTTGTCATGGGACCATGATGTGTCAATTTTGATTGTTTGTTGCAGGTAACATCCATGATCTTCGAGCTGCTGGATGAATATCTTCCTATCTGCAAGTGGTAAGAGTAAGGGGTCTTTCAGCAACTGACCATTAGCCTTGATTTCAATTTGCAATGTAAGAATCTGCACATTGGAATGAAGAAACAGACTTATGTCCAATCCACAAGTTATGATGGCAACAGAACTGACATGAAATTTCTGATTACTTGCATGCCTCTGAGATGACACCTAGAATAGAATACTTAATCTGAACGATCCAGACATACCACTGGAAATACTTGCCTTGTGCTCAGTAGAAGAAGTTACCTTCTGGACTAGCTTTGAAGATTTCATTGCTAGTGCCTCATGACAGGGATCCAATTGAGCAACCTGAGACAAGCTGGTGGGATGTTTGTTAGCAAGGCCTTCGAATATTCTCACCACATTTGATGAGCTGGATATGGCAGGGAGAGGTTGGGTGGCAACTGAGGTACCATCAGCATTGTGATGCTTGCTTATCCCATGCAGACATTCCAAGCAGTGGGTGGTGTTGCCTTTTTTTGGGAAGAACACTTCACAGTTGCAAGTACCATCACTGCCCTGGCAGAGGCCCTCCTTGGTTGGCATTGATATGGGTGAGAACAAATGGGGCATAAGGACAGATGAACAGAGCACCATGCAATTTATAATTGGTGCCAGCATACTAGATCAAAGTTTAAGACTTAGTAAGTAATATGACAACATGGATAAAGCCTGGCACCATAGACATGCCTGGGAATACCAAATTGAGTCTGCTAACGAAATGTCCACATCTTTGGCCACACATCAACCAATGTGAATAGATTCAATTGTCATATATCTGTCTGAGCCCCACTCCACTGGCATCAACCTGAAACTCTCTGGTGTGATGTCCTGAGCAATTACCTCATGAAGACCACTGAAAAAGATTAGCTCATCTTCATCACTCCTAAATGGATTTCGAAGCGAGGGTACATGCATGGCCTCATGGTTAATATGTACTTGCTGTTGATGTGCAATCACATCGGCCATATCCATTACTTCATCATCAGCGAGGCCAAGTCCCTCAAGCTCTTCATGATCTTGGTATATGCCAAACTTGATTTTACCTAACAGGGACATATCCTTGTATATCACAGAATGAGTAGAGTAGTATACTAACGAAACTGAAATCTTACCTTGGGACTCTTGTTGTTAGCACTTGGGCCACCTAATGGGTGGCAATTCCACTCCTCTCGAAACACCTGACAATTGTGATTGATATCATTGAGGAAAAGTATATGGAGTAACCAGGTATGCGATGTGTTGTTGACATCAAGCAAGTGAATATGTTCAAGCCAAGTGAAGAATGCATGCCAGCATCTGGCAAAAATAATGTAAAATATACTTATGTTCCCCAGATAAATGAGCCTTGGTGGTGGCCATTCTTCATAATGACATAGGTTGCGATGTCAAGGTTCTCACCACTGCGGTCTCCATGTACATGGGAAGGCATACTATATTCTTCAATCACTTGTTTAAATATGTGAAGGACAGTTGCTGACCAATTATTATTGCTAGCACATATCGCAGTAACCTAAGAATGAATCAATGAATGTTGCAAGATAGATGACTGATAAACATACTGTGCAGCAAAACCCATTGATGAATCCATGGATAACAATCCCCCACCAAATCAATTTGTGGTGACTGTCCATGTGCCATAATGCATTGGGCTACTTGACATGATACTTGTGCCTGGTCTTCGTATGGCAGTCTCATAAAGCTTGACCAAGGCAATCCACCCTAGAAAGTGACTGGATTACACAGTGATACTGAATGTGAACCCCCTGTGCCCACATGAACCCAATGATATAATGAAGTCCAGATTCCAGCTGTCTCTTCTTAAATTCCTTGATGAGATTGTCAAGGTCCACATCACTAATCTCAGTGTACATACACTTAATGCCATGGCACCTCATGTAAAGGTGCAGAGTATTTCGATGGATTCTGAGAAGGCACACAAGTTCAGTGGAATGAATGTGTCTTGAGTTTGAAATGACCTCCTTGAGAATGTCGATGTCAATGACCTTCCTCAGCTGTCCTCGTAAACCAGTGTGAACTTCTGCTACTGGCTTTAGCATTTCTATGTTCTCATCAACACTAAGCATGAAGAATGTGTATGTTAGGCTGATAGCACTGGGAACCATTTTTTTAAGTTTGCTCACCAAGTCCTCATGCTGTCTCGATAGCATGCAATTGCTGCATACAGCTTCCCAACTAGCTCAGTGGCATCCGAGAGCCACTCGGACAGGTCAGTGCCCACATGGTCTTCTTCAATCGCTGTAAAGAGATGTATCATGTTTCCTTCCAGAAAGCTGAGATGACACTCAAGGTGAATTATATTGTTGTCCTCTTGGGTCCACACTTGGAAAGCATGCTGATAGATGTTGGAGAGTGAATTGACTGCCACAATGAGGTTTTCTGGCCACAGTGTGGTACTTGCAGGCAGCTGAGGGATGGAACTGGGAAGCAATGTCACCATCAATGGGATGGGTCTTCAAGCTTGAAGCCCAAACCCCAGAATGCGACATAACAGTACATGGGACATATGAGAACACAAGCCATTTCACCTTAATCATGACTGAATCAGTGCCAGTGACAGTCACCTGCCATCCTGAATTTTATTTTGAAAATGGCACATTCATCTTCCAGGTCGAGAATATGCTGTACAAACTCAATCACAACATCTTGGTGAACAAGTCCAAACTCTTCACTGACATCTTTTCACTTGGCCAATATGTGCCAGACAGCCAGGAGGGGAAGGTTGATGGGCAACTGATTATTCTTGGTGGCAAAAATTTGACTGTGCAAACTTTTGACTTGTTCATCGAATTCAAGTTCATGTGGTAAGTCTCTGAGCACTCCCCTGATGGTGACCCTTACTGAATTCACTCATTCTAGTCCCCATCCTTCCACAAAATATTCCTTGGATGACCTCAAGAACTTGCTGGAATTTGTCTGCCATTTCCAATGCAGCACCTGTATGCTCAGCTTCATCACCTCTTGCATCATTGAGAGAGCATACTTCTTCCATCCTTCCAAACTCATTCATCTAGGCATCGAGTACAAGATTTGGGCCATCTTCGAAAGAGGTTTCACTAGGCTTTGCAAAGTCCTGCTGACAAAGTATTAAGAAGTCTCACTGTGTCTGGATGGGGATGGATACTTACCTCACATATGTCTATGTCAGGTCCCATTTGGATGAGTACATCTGCATGGTCACTGCAGAATTTCCCCCCATTGTCCATTCTAGCAGCTGCCAGGATCACAAAGGGTGTGCTGAAGATTGGGCTGCAGTGTGGTGGAATGGTATGGGGCAACTCCTCCTTGATGGAAAGAACCCATGGTGTTTGGACAAAGCTATTGATCACTTCAAAGGATTGCAATTTGGCCAGGTTGGTGTGGATTGTAAGAGGCATATGTTTTCACATATAATGAACCTGAACAAACCACTTGCACATTCTCATCAATTCATTACTCATGTTAAAGATTGCCTTGTCCACAAAATCATACCTACGTAGTTGTTGTACATAGAGATGTAGCATCTTACAATGTAACTTCAGTTTGTTGCAATGTATAGTGTTTTGAGACCTTGTTCAAATTACAGCCATTTTCAAAACTGAGGGCACAGCTAAACGAACAAAATCACACACATGTAGTGGCTAAATTTTAGAATCTGAACATCTCAATCAATTCAAGTCAGATTGCCAGTATTTTTGCAGATTTGGAACCAGGTAAATTAGATTCAGGTTCTTGTATAAAAATTAGAATAGTTCCACTGCTATATAAGTCTGAAAAAAAAGGCTGATTTTACACATATAACCAAGATTGTGATGCAAGTACTGCATATTTCTCCACAAAAAATTCATATTCTTCGAGCCCTGTGTATTACCTAGAGGACAGTACAAAAATTATATGTAATTCTGCAGTGTGCTATTGCGATCTGAAGTACTACACCTCATACTATCTTATCTGCACTTGGTGGCTGCTTACTAATCACATGCTACCTCCCCCCTTCCAATGCCTCCACACCTTGCATCTCAAGACTTCAAGTAAAATCATAGTAGATTATCTTACTATCATAAATGCTGAAATGAAAAGTCAGTGGCCAGGCAAGCAGTGTGCATGAACAGTGAGTAACCACCTTTGAGCCACTGTAGCTATATGGATGACTAGTTGCTGACATAATCATCCTTGTCTGGCCACCGACTTTTCATCTCCATGTTCAGTCAAGTCAAGATTACAGTCATCCTGGGATGTGCTGTACAAATTGATCACCAGTATCATTAACCGAGTCAATGTCACTGACATCAAGCAGGTCATTCCTGAACCATTCTCAGAAAACCTCATATGAGGTCAAGGACCATTCACCTGCAGCGTCATGAAAGCACAGGCATCCAGCTTACCCTTTACACTTGTTTTTGCTGCTCTGGTGGCCATTATCAACACAAAACTTCCTCAAGTGGGAGAGCTCATCTTAACCTGGCTCATAAGCCAGTTTTGACATGCATTAAAGCATAACAACAAAGTAAGTCACAATTCTTTCCTGCCTGTTTCAAATTGTTGATGTCATGCTGGACAGACTGTTTGTCATTCTTCGAGAACTTTCCTTGGTCACCTTGTCAATCAGGCTGTTGCACATGAGATTACTGCGCTTGAAACCCTCATCTTCCTCCTTGAGTGCCAAATGGATGACTTGATTGAGATTGTGGTTGGATTCATGCATGAGGTTGGCGCATTTCTGGCAGAAAACTCTCTGAAAGCAAATGCACTCATTTTTGACCATTTCCATGATGTTCTCAATGAGGGGACCATCAGTCATCACATACAATATATGATAGAGGTGCTTATGCAGGTCTGGAAAGACAAGTATAAGGACAACCCAATCATACCAGATGGGTTGGACCTTGTAAAGGAAGAGGAGCAAATTATGCACCACATATGCCTTGAAGAGGAGTTGCAGGTCCAAGAAGGGCTCAGTGAGTTTCTGTTGTTTGTTACCAGTTTTAGTATTTGAAGCATTTGGGCAGATATTCTCAAGTTCAACCCCAATTACATGGAGAATGAGGAAAAGTACAAAGCAATAAAAGCTGAGATTCTTGGAGAGGGCTCTGACAATGAATCTGGTCCAGAGGAGTCAAGCAAGGAAGAAGAGCAAGGTACATGACTCTTTCACTCCTGTGTCATAATTTTGACCCTTTGGTGGCCAAAGAATGAGAAGGTATATTGGATCAGATGGGGACAAACTTGGTCAATCTATGATGAATGATATACCTTACTATCATGAACACTCTCAACTATGAAGAAGCTGTCCACAAGCTCTTGAAGATCCAGTCAAAGGAAGGAGAAGAGGTGAGTATCATTATTTTAATTACTTCAAAATCATGCTCATGTCCATTGGTTAGATCGAGCTCATTAACATGATTATTGAGTGTTGCTTGCAAGAGCACTCTTACTCCACCTTCTACAGCCTTGTTTGGGAATGATTTAGTTGGCTTAATCATGTCTGGATGGAATGCATTGAACAAGCATTTGACAACTACTACCATACTGTTCACTGATACAAGACATCCTGATGATATTCCCAACACTCACCTACCCCATGGAGAGACTACAGCAAAGGTCACAGTCAGGGCCCAGCTCAGAGCCCAGATGGCTCATGCAACTACAGGCCACATGGACACAATGGGGAATACACTCAGGAACTTGGTTGCAACTATGTATAAGACAAGTACCATGAAGACTCACACTCCCTGCCATCTTCCCCTTGTTGGTCTCCCTCACTTCATCAATCTCACTCTCCACCTCATTGATCTCCCTTGATGGAGGAGATGGTGAAGTTTTTTTTCATCAGAGTTGTCAGAGATTTGAATAACTTCTATGATACCATTCATTGATATGTTTGCATTCATGTTACCCACCACCTGGTAAATTTACTAGCCAATACAATCATTGTTGTTTCTATATACCTCATGCAAAATTCAATCATTAATGTGCAGAGATTGATTGTTATGTTATGTAGGCATATACAAATATACACATAGTATCATTATGCGACATGTGGTTGAGTGGTGTGGTTGCAGAGGGTAACAATGTAGCTGAGAGGGTGCAGTGGTGTGGTTGCAGAAGGTAACAATGTGGCTGAAAGGGTGCAGTAGTGCAGTTGTACAACCATGAAAAGTAATGACATGGTTGAATGGGTGTGGTGGCATGGTTGTGGAAGGTAACACTGTGGTTGAGAGGGTGCAGTAGTGCAGTTGTGCAACTGCAACAAGTAATGATGCAGCCAAATGAGTGTGGTGGTGTGGTGGTGTGGCCACGAAAAATAATGTGCATATTTTATGCCATAGAACAAGTCAGTGTCAGGCTCTCCCCACCTCCTTAAAAAAACATTTTGCTTCTGAAACACCAAAACAAAGGAACCAACACCACCCATATCCCATTGAAAGCAAGGAAGAATAGTAATGTACCTGACATGTTGCCTCTGCCTCCTCTGCTGTGATTCCCATGCGTATTTGTGTGCCCAGTTCCAGGTGGGCTCTCTCCAATATTATCTCCACCCTGTGCATCAGCACTACTATGACTACCATGTGTGTTGGAAGAGGTGAATGCATGGATGTATGTATGAGTGGATATGTGGGATGTGGAAGTAGTGGGGTGTTGCTCAGCATGGTTAGACCACATGGTTTTGGGGTGCTGACATTTGTGCTGTGTTGAGATTTAGTTGCAGAGAGTCCATTACAGGCCAGGGGGGATGCAGCTATTTACAACCTGGAGGGTTCACAGTGCTTGCACTGCATCCACCACCTGATGCACCCCCCAGCACACTCAATGCAGTGGAAATAGAACCAGTAGAGGACTGGGTTAGGTGTGAGGAAGCCTTGACTGTTAAAGTGGGACAACCATGAGTTCCAGGGCTAGAACTGGTTTAGTATGAGTCATACTGGCACTGGGGTTAGTTTGGGCAGTCCAATGAGCACATGTGACCATAGCTGGGGTGGGCAATGAGAGATGCTGGGATTTGCAGGAGCTGTATTTGCATTAGGAGTCAAGTTGGTGCTGGCATTGGATGTAGAGTTGTGCCTGTATTGGAGATAGGAGGAGAAAGGCCTTGGCCATATAGGGGTATGTGTCAATCCAGGGTGTCGAAATCCAGGTGTGCATGTACTTCACCTGGAAGGTCTTGCATGGTGTCCAATGCAGAAGATGTGAATGGTGTCTCTTTGTTGCATGAGTCGAGGAGTTCACTGAGGGGGGAGTTCAATGGTTGGCCTGAAGATACTTGGGGCATAGTGAGATGTAGATGAAGAACATGTGATGTCTTTGCCATAGTTCATTGTTGTGGTCAAGGTGGGGATTGCCAATAGGAAAGCTGAAGGACCAAAGCCATTGGAGAACAGAGGGCAATTTGCGGGTAGGCTGTGGTAGATTATGGACAGCAGAGGACAAGTGTTTTCACCTCTGGGATGCCATGGTTGGGGGAAGGGAGTGGTGGTTGTTGAAGTCATTGCCTGCAATGGAGTTGTGGTTGGATGAACAAGCAGTCTGATGGCCATGTCAATGGGTGTGGGATGAGTGTTGAAGTCATGTGAGGAAGCCATTCACATTTGACTGCATCCAAGATGGCCAAGTGCACTACATGATGTGATGATGACATCCAGCTACATACACACCTTGTGCTGGAATGGCCATCTTGGATGGCCCGATGGCATCAGCAGCCTTCACATCATGTAACATACATGGCATCTGCCCTTGGCCATCCAAGACAGCCATCAGTGTTGGTGAGGATGCGATCACATGACCATGGCATTGTCTGCCAGCTGGCCATCTTGGACAGCTGACAATGTCTTGGATGGTATGCAATTCTGTAATTCAGGCCTTGTGCCAGTTGGCCATCCTAGACAGTCAAAAATGTCAAATTGGTGTGCAATCATGTGTCACCCTCAGTCCTTGTGCCAGTCAGCCATCTGAGATGGCCAAGGACATTGAATTGGTGTTCAACCACATCACCCTTGGTCCATGTGCCAGTGGCTGTCTTGGATGGCCACAGAGGTCTAGGTGATGAGACCATGTCACATTCAGTCTGTGCCAGTCAGCTGTCCAAGATGGCCAAAAGAGGTCAAGGAGATGTGACTCACATCATATTCAGTCCATGTGCCAGTTGGCCATCCAAGATGGCCACATCTGGAACCAAACATATATCCCACAAGCATTTTATATTATCATAGATTATCAAAGGTGGAATTGCATGTGAGAAATAGTCAAGTACATGGCAGATCATTGGCTGAAATGTTATTGATGGATAACAGCACATGCACATTGTGGTGATGGCAGCATGAGCAGATTACCCAATGGCACACCATGAGGTAAACACATGGTGGAGGGTATAAGTATTGACCTGCTTCTGACCTTCCTGCCAATCCTTCTCTTCTCTCACCCCCAACCATTCCCCTCTCATTTGTGATATCCATTAACAATCACAGCAAGCATGCCAACTCAATCATTAAGAGCTGTGCTTCTTATGCTCAGTAGCGAAGGCCTTCCATGGAGTGTGGCATCATGGCAAGCACTGACCAGGATGCCTGGAGAGCTGTGGTTCACAGTCAATAACAATAACATGCTGGATGATTCACCCTCATTGTATGTGCCTGAGTGGACCACTTGAGTTGCAAACCAAGTCAAGTCATTTGCCACAATGGTGTGGGGTATGGCCAGTGCCACACAGGATGCCTATATCACCAAGTGGGATGCAGATAATGATTCTGCAGGCTGCACTGCCTGGGCCACCTTCATCAGTAAATGATCTGGGCAATGGGGCATCAACAGAATTATTGACAAGGTGCTTGAGACTGCTGGTTGCTCCCCCATATAAATCCTACATGACTTCAAGACACCAGCTGTAAGTATGGCACTTGCACAAATCATCTGGCATTAACAGTATTCCACACTAGTTACCCAATGCTGAGGCTGCACAAATCTATGACTGCACCACTCCACTTGCACAAAAATTATTCAGAGATGAGGCATTCCTAGGGACAAGTAGCCTCCTGAAAGGGGAGGTAGTAAAATTCTGCCACATGATCTTAAGTTTGAGTTGGAATCAGTACTGCAAGGCAGTGTCATGTGACATACACTTAATGGATTCTTTGTATGAAATGGTAACCCAATCATGGATTGGTAAGTGCAATCATGGCTTCGATAATTTGGTCTCAGATATTCTTGTTCATAGCATTCAGTGCTGAAGGCACTAAGCTGACACCTGCACAAATCAAGTCATTCATCAAGGACCTGCACAAATTACTCAAATTATATGTTTGTTATGATGACAAGGACTGTCGCACTCAGGTTGAACAATACCTGGAAGATATGGTAGAGATGTTGCATGTGTCAACAAGTGACAAGGTTATGTAAGTTGCCAGTGGACAAACCTCTGATGAACCTTAGGTGAACCTTAGACAAACCAGCCTTTTTTCCCACACCTCTATTTTTGACAGGTTATGTATCACCACTAGTATCTTTTTTTACCCCTTGTCCCTTGTTCTTATGAGCTTGTTTTCACATATATATACTTCTCTTCTCTTACTTACAAAACCCTCAGTCATCTTGCCCATACTCAGGCAGTGGCTGAGCTATTTTCTATTTAGTTTTTGTCAGGTTATGAACCCCAAGGGTGCATCCTAGCTCCTCACACAGCACCAGATGACTTGCACCCCCAAAAAATTTTTCCCACCCTGAAAATCCTTTGGTTTGCTGACCTACTGGCATAACAGGCACCTGAGCTTCACTACTCAAGATGTCAGCTACTACTAGCACCACCACAACTGACTTGCCCACACTAACAGGGCCAAACAATTATGAGATTTGGAAACTGTTCCTGGGATCTGCAACAAGGGAATACCCCACCTCTCTGTTGGTGAGGTCATCCACTATGCACAACTCCATCAATGAGTTGTGCAGTGCCATTGAGGACACAATGTTCCCATAGCTCCACAAGCCTTGCTTCTGTGTCTGCAAACATGGAGCACAGATCCCTGAACTGGATCTCTTCACCTTTGTACAGCATGGATGTCCAGTTTTCGGTATCCTTCCACCAAATCTTTGGCAGGCCCATAGTGTCATAGGAGATGGCACTGGCATGATGTTGGTGTTGGAGTTTATCACTTTTACCTTAGTTGTGGTTCACCGAGCACAGCATTATGTAATCCAAAAGCGGACACTTAGCAGTTTATTTTTTTTCCTTACTGCACCTTAGCTTCAACCAACTTGAAGTCTGAGGTGGGACTCCTTCCATTCATTATATTGGAACACTTACTTACCTACCTACAGTATATTCCTCTCTATAGGTAGTTAATTGTTCAGCTTCAACCAACTTGAAGTCTGAGTATATTCCTCTCTATAGACTTGACAATCCTGCAGCTTGTCATCCTCCAAAAGTTGGAGGGAGCAAAGACGAGCAAATGTTGAAAGTGTTTTTTTGGTGAACCAAGGCTGAAGGCTGTCACATGCTTTGTGCTGATCCTCTGGGTCAGTGGATGCAGCACAGTTCTGGATCTCCATGAGGAGTGTCAAGTGCATGCAGTATGTAAACTTGGAAATGGTATTGGTGATGTCCTTGGGTTCCTTGAACATACCCCCTCACTGCAGTGTCAGGAGTGCAAGACACTCTTCGGTTGGATCTGCAATGGTGCCAGGTGTGATTTGTTTCCAAGTAATGGTCCAGGTGATGATCAACACTGCATGAATGCATTCACAAATGTCATCTTGATTGGCCCTGCCCTGCAATCCTTCCAGTAGTGTCTGCAATGCATTGGCTAGCTCTTCACTTCTAGGCACTTTGTGAAGGACAAAGGCCAGCAAAGCAACCACTGGGACAACATAGCCATCCATCATCTTCACTAGCATGTGCCTATGCAATGGTGTATTTGAGATGCCCCTGTCTTGAAGGTGTGTGCATAAGTCATCAATGAGTTATGCATGTGATGATGGTGCTTACTCTTTGACTGGGTCTGGTGAATTCAGTCACTGCAAGACCAGCTCATTTGAGGTGTCCAAAAGGTCCAAAGCATGCTTGAAATACTGAGTGACTGCCAATCACAGTCCAGGCAAGATCTCATTGTTGTCCTTGGGTATTGCTGCCAGGTTTTGCAAGGTTTCCACTTCATGTGGAGCAGTAGCCAGATATTTATGCCATCATGTTGTCATGAGCCATGGAGAGATCATGTGCTTGTCTTGATTGGCTTGAGGGGGGATGCAAAAGTCTTGTTCCAATTCCTTTAGGAGGCTGTTTGCCAATGCTCCTGTGGAAATGCCTTTGGCATTGACCACTGCTGGCTCTTTCACTTCCCAGAGGATACAATGCATGCCATGGCCCTGTGCATTCATGCTTTGACTCTGCACATCCTCCATGCTTATGGTGCTGTGATATTCTTGTGTTCTCATTGGTGATGGTCCTGTATTTTCTGCTCTGTTGTGTAGATTTTTGGACAGTGGTCACATGAAAATGCATCCCAGACTGCCAGCCCTTGGACAATGCCTTGTGGTCCTCTGATTTCTGTGGGGAGAACAGAAGCAACATTGGTTTCTGACAAGGCACCATTGAGCTGGATCTGATCCATGTTCATGATGGAATGATTGGTGGCAATGTGGTCAGTCACATTGGTTCTGGGAGTGGTGATCTTGCAACTTGTGCATACAAGGCAGAGAAATTCTTCATTGACAGCCAGGTGGAGTGTGCTGAGATATGGGTGGTAGATGAGGCCACCCACAGTAGACAGCTGTGACTGGGCTGGTTGAGTGGTTTGTATGTTTTTTTTGGATGGAAGCAGAGACTGTGACCATGAGATCAGGCTTGTAGTATGAGCTTGCCAAATTCTTTTAATCTTACTTTGAAAAAAATGTCTTGAATGGACTCTGGGACTGGAGACCCCACTTGCACTGACATGGGAGATGCTATGGATCCATTTCTATGCTGCAATGGCTTGCATAAGTCATCAATGAGTTGTGCAAAGGTGGGTGAGCTTACCCTGTCTGTGCTGCTAGCTGAAGACTCTGCTGATGGGGAATGCATGTTGATATCCCCAGCTGGGGCCTGTGTTGTGGTGTCAAGACCACTGGTTAAACTAGCAAACCAGCACTTACTGATCCTTGATGGCACAACTCATCAATGAGTTGTGCAGACATGGTGCTAGTTGAAGGGGCCATGGCACTAGAATGGCCAGAGGCAGTAGTATTATATGATGAGGATGACATTTGACTTTGTTTGTACATGTTTGCTCAGTTGCAATTGAATGTTGAATGCTTTGATTTACCTTTCTTTCTGGGCCTAACCAAGTGGACTTGGCCCTTTTCATGTGTGCTTTCAAGGCATCTGTGGTTGAATACCCTGTTGGTTTAGGGCAGGATGGCTCAGAACAGTAGCATAAGAATAGACTGCCTGTCCTGTGCACTGTAACCTGCTGTCCATCAGGTGCAGTAAAGGTTGATACTCTGACACATTTTTTGTTGTGAGTGTTGTGTAGATTTTTGTTGTCAAACTCTGCTCCACAGGTGCTGCAAGTGTAAGCCATGCTACTGTGTGAGGATGGTGATGGGAGAGATCAGAAGAAAGAAAATGAAAGGAGGGAAAGAGGAAAGAAATACCTTTCTCACAATGGATGCTATATATGCTGGCTATCTGTGGCTATGCAGAACTGTTATCTATACATAGTGGGTGCTTTGCATGGCAGAGCAATTTTTTTCAGTGGCTATACACAGCTTTCAATGGCAGTGTGATTTTTTTTTGGTGTCAGACCATTGCAACTCATTGATGAAGTATGCAGTGGCATTGGGCAATGCACAGCTTGTTTCTATATATGGTAGGCACTTTTGTGGCTATACACAGCTTTCACCCATATATGGTAGGCGCTTTTGGTGGCTATACACAGCTTTCAGTGGCAGGCTGATTTTTTTGGTGTCAGGCCATTGCAACTCATCAATGAGTTGCATAGTTGCCTTGTGCTATATAAAACCTGTTTCCTTATATGGTAGGCACTTTTGTGGCTATACACAGCTTTCAGTGGCTGTGTGATTTTTTGCAATTTTTTGCCTGCACAAGTCATTGATGAGTTGTGCAATTACCATATATAGTAGGCGCTTTTCGAATTTCCTTTTATAGTAGGCACTTTTGAGACTGGAACTGGGCAGACAGTTTAGATTATTAGGCAATCACTGGACTCCCTACCATGTCCACCAGTGGTTTCCTGGTCATCCTAGACCATGGGGACAGGCATAGGAGCAGAAGTGCCTGGTAGGACTAGTCTTGATCAGCCACATCTTGCCTTTCAGCAATCACTGCACTTGCTACCATGTCCACCAATGGTTTGCTGGTCATCCTGGACCTTGGGGACAGGGTGAGACAGCCTTTCAGAGATCACTGGACCATCTTCCTATTATAAGAGGTATCTGCATGAACTGTTTGCAAATGTTCTAGGCCAGCAATTTGTGGGTCATGACTGGATGGTCCATGACAAGCTTCCTCTACAAGAGGTATCTGCATGAACCATCTGGCAAGGCTCAAGGCCAGCGATGGGGGCAGTCAGGACTGGTCTTGACCACCTTCCATTTTAGGAAGGACCTGTGTGAATTCCTTTCCCAAAAAGGCAGTGCTGACTGGTAGGATGGGGCATCCTTCTTGGATCAGAAGGATAGACTGTTTTACCAGGGTTTGCATGGGGGTTATTTCTGGGTTATTTACTGGGGTTTTCATGGGGGTTATCTCTGGGTTATTTACTGGGGTTTTCACAGGGGTTATCTCTGGGTTATTTACCAGGGTTTTTACAGGGGTTATCTCCAGCTTTTTTACCAGGGTTTTCATCCCAGTTGACTTGGGGTTACTTTCCCTACTTCTGTCACCAACTCAGTAATCTGTAATCTGTAGTCATCATACAAAGTAGTAGTCTGTCTTACCACTCCAGATAAGCAACCCCTCCCTTATTTTCTCTACCCATACCCATCAGCTGCCTCATCATGCTAATCACTCACTCCCTTAGTAGTGCTGTCAGCCCTATTTCAGATAACCAACCAGTCCCTTATTTTTTGCTAGTCATATCCAAGTCAGTTGCTAGTTAGTTGCTAGTCAGTAGGTGTCTTATCCATAGTCAGTCAGTAGTTACTACTACATCCCTTGGTAGGTAGTCCGCTTTTTTGCTAATCAACTCACTACTCATCTTTCATCCAAATAAGCAACTGGTCACTTATTTTTCCCTAGTCATATTCAAATCAGTTGGTAGTTTGTAGGTTGTCATCAGTAGTCAGTCAGTAGTCACTACTACATCCTTTGGTAGTCTCCTTTTTTGCTAATCAACTCACTGGTCATCTTAGGTACAGAAATAAGCAACCCATCACTTACTTTTGCTACACATATTCTCCATCTCCATGTCTTCTGTCAGTAGTTGCTATTCCATAGTTCCTCATTTGTAGTCAGTCATCATCCCTATGTCTGCTTTTTTGCTACTCATGTCCTAGTCATCTTGGGTCCAGATAAGCAACCAGTCACTTATTTTTCACTAGTCATGTTATTCAAGTCAGTTTGTATTCAGTAGGTGCTCATCAGTAGTCAGTGGTCATCACTGTGTCTGCTTTTTTTGCTAATCACTTGCTAGTCATCTTCAGTCCAGATAAGCAACCAGTCACTTATTTCTTTGACTCTGAGTTGTTGTGTTGCTTCCCTTCACCAACCCTCTGGTGCCTGTACACTTGTCTTCACTCCCTAGGTGGTTGCCTTCAGTGGCTGTACAACTTGCTCTCTCAACTTCATACTCATCTTCCATCCAGATAAGCAAACTTGCCAGTCATCTTGTGTCCAGAATAAGCAACTGGTCCCTTATTCTGTTGTAGTCAGTGGTGCAGCTCTTGCTACTTGCTACTTGGTAGTTGGTAGTCACAAGTCCAGATAAGCAACCAGTTGCTTTCAGTTGGTAGTTGGTAGGTGGGTAGTTACTGCTACATCCCTTGGTAGTCCGCTGTTTTGCTAATCACCTTCCTTGTCATCTGCCCTCCAAATGAGCAACCAGTCCCTTATTTTTTCCTATGTCTGTCATCAGTAATTGGTGGTCTCTAGCCATTGCCATGTCTGCTCTTTTGCTAATCAACTCACTACTCACCTTTCATCCATATAAGCAACTGGTCACTTATTTTTGTTCTTCATTGCTCTTTGGTAGTCAGTAGTCATTACTGTGTCCGCTTTTTTCACTAGTTATTTGCTAGTCATCTTGGGTCCAGAATAAGTGACCAGTCACTTATTTTTTTCACTTAGGGTGGCTGTGTTGCTTCCCTTCACCAACTTTCTGGTGGCTGTGCATTTCCTTATATGGTGGTTGCATGCAGTGGCTGTGTAGGTTGCATGCAAGCAACTTGCCTTATATGGTGGTTGCCCTCAGTGGCTGTGTTGGTTGCATTCCTAGATGCATGCATGATACCTACACTTTGCTAGATGCATGCATGATACCTATGCTTTTCACTAGATGCATGCAGATCAAGTGCTGGCTCCAGAAAGCATGTTATTATACTTGAATGGGACTTACACTATACTCATTCCCTCCTAGATGTTCCATGCTACCATACATGAATGGAAGGCTTGGACCAAGCACAAAGTCAACATATGCCTTCCATTCCTCAGGATTTTCATATTTCAGGTCTGAAGCCCACAGTGTAACTTTTGCATGCACTAGACAAGATCATTAGTAATGCCATCAATGTCAAGCAAAAGTCCTTACCAGATGATAGACATGATTGTCCTCATCAAACCAGTGTAGCCAATCTAACATGACCTTATCCCATAGTTCCTGCAATTTGTCAATGAAGTGATCAGGTACCATCCAGGGATTCTCCAATGTCCCACAATAGAGACAGAGCAAAGGAACCAAAAGCTTTGTAAATTGGGCAGCAGATCCCTTTGGCAAGTTTTGATGACTAGGTCGATTCTTCATAGCTGTTGCATTTGTGATAGGAGTGCTGTGCTGTAAGTGCTGTTGAGGAGCATTAGAAACAATCTTGGTAACAGCAAGGGGACCCTTAAAACATGTTAGCATCTGTATAGAAATTAGGGATGCTGTAACTACTTACCATGGTATTCTGTGCCCCAGCAGGTTTCCATTTCTTCTCTTGCTCATTGGGGAGGCCACTGAATTTATCCATCACACTGCCATTGACCTGGTTACCTCTATGAGTAATGTACTCACCAGTTTGAGACTCTATGTGACATTTGTGCTGGGCAGAGTCCACAGATTTTCCTTCCTTGTGAGAGCATGAGAGGCCAGATGTGTGGTCGCATTTCTTCTTCTTCTGCAGTAGCCCTGAGCCAAAAATAACTCTAAAAGATAAACAAATATGTTAGTTCAAATAGCTTGATTATAAAAACATACTTACACTCCATCACATTTGAGCTTGCACTTGCATGTAGCTGTGATGACAGAAGGTTGGGAGGGAGTGGCCTTGGTAGTAGTGCAGGCAGCTTCAATGAGGTGGCATGTGATCTTGGCTGGCTTCCTGTGTATTCCCACAGTCTCTTCATCCTCACTCCCCTCTGTGGCAACATCAGGATTGGTGTGGTAGTTGTCCTCACCATCATCCTTGTGACCTGGGGCATGCTGCGAGGTCTGTGTGCTCGAGATAGTGTTGTTGGGTATGTCTGCTGGCAAGACAGATACATTGATGGATATTTTGGCCACTCTGTATGATCACCAGGACCCACCATTTGCATCACATGATGAGTTATATGAGTCTATTGATGCTATACCATATGGTGACTGCCCTTGGCAGTCATTTTCAGTGAAGTACTCAGGCCCATTGCCCAAGGACCCACTGTCTTGGATGTTGGCAGACTATGATGTATGGTACTGAGATCTGCTAAGTCTACTTGAACAACAATTTGGAAATCCAGAATTTGCTGATGCAATCAACTACACTACAAAAGTGAGTTTTACTGATGTACATTGAACAATATATTAACACTAACATCACAGGTCGTAACAGATGAAAATGGCTGGCATGAGGTCTGTGACCTCATGTCAGGTCAGTGGGCATGGGATCAGTCTGTGAGTCTACACATTCATGTCATCTTCCTTCAGTGACAATATATATATTGTCCAGGAACTTATTGCCCAGGATCCAGATACACATAGGGCCATGTTTGCACCTATCATACTAGGCAGCAACAAGATGACAGTCAGCGTAGGCACTGGAAACATGGAATATTACCCACTATACATATCCCTTGGAAATGTTCACAACTGTGTCCATCACTCTCACAGCAGTGCCCTGTCCATTTTGGCCTTTCTGTCCATCCTCAAAAGTAAGTGACCATCTTTTGACTAACTCCAAGGCTCATTCAAATTGCCAACACATAGCTGGTCCCACACACAAAGATGACATCGACTTCTGCTACTTTTGCCACCAGTTATTCCACTCATCACTTGCTGCCATCCTTCAGCCAGTCAAGGACTCAATGAGCAAACCATGAGTGACACAATGTGCAGATGGCCACTTCTGCCATGTCATTTATGGCCTTGGCCCTTACATCACCAATTACCCTGAGCAAGCCTTGCTTGCATGTATTGTGCAGGGTTGGTGTATATGATATGTTATCTGCATTGCTTTTTGAGTGATGTGGCCACTGACCATATGCAGTTGCATGGTGCAAAACAGCAGTCTTGATAGTGGCAGCAGACCACAGGCACATGCCTACAGTGAACAACTCCATATGACAATGGACCCACAAACCCTATGGAATGATTATCGGATTGTAGGCAGCTTCAAGGTAAGCTTTATTGATATGTTTATTTGATATTAATGGCAACTTTTTAAAGCCATTTACAGCCCATTTTCCTCATGTGGATATACATGAGATGATCACACCAGACCTCCTCCATCAATTCATTAAAGGGATATTCAAGGACCACCTTGTTACCTGGGTCAACAAATATCTAGAGCAGAATTACCCCAGGCAGCAAGCCTTGGAAATTATAGCTGAGATTGACTGCCAGTTTGTGTTTCATGTTGGGGCTTAGATCATTCACTGACTGGTAACCATTGCTCACAAAGCAGGCTTGCTGCCATACCACTGTTCCCTGGACTACACCAATTCCCAGAAGGTTGAGAATTTAAGCAGTTGACTGGGGGTGATTTGAAGGCATTGATGAAGGTGAGTAACCTAAAATGTATTCTGATAATCACAGACTAAGTCAAAAACCATCACAATAGATTTATTTGCCTGCCATTAGCAGCTTGGTCCCAGATGTGATGGTCCATGCTATTGCAGCCTTCCTCAAGTTCTGTTACATTGCACAAAAGTCTGTCATCACTGAAAGAGACCTTGACACTATTGATGATGCAGTATGCTGCTTCTATCTCAAACAGGAGATTTTCAAGGAGGTTGGAGTCTGTGAACATTTCTCACTTCCTCACCAACATGCCATGGTTCATTACCACACATTGATCAAAATGTTCAGCCTACCCAATGGTATTTGTTCCTCAATAACTGAGTCTCAGCACATCAAAGCTGTGAAGGAACCATGGCACCACTCAAATCGATATGAGGCACTCAGGCAAGTGTTACTCACAAATCAATGACTGGACAAACTGGCCACAGCATGCTTAGTATACTCACAGAAGGGTATGTTGGACAGCACTTTTGTTCCAGCAGTGAGAAGAGAGGATATTGCCACAGAGGACAGCAAGGATGGAGAGGAGGAAGACAAGTCTCAGGCAGTTGAGGGAGACAAATCAGATTATGATGTCCAGTTAGCATGAAAGCCAGGTGAGTATGACTTGTGACATTTGTGTTGTGCTAGCTAACTGTCTGTGATTTCTTTTAGTACAGAATATACCTCATGTGAGAAAGCTTGTGGCTGCGCACTATGGTTATCCAGAACTTGTCAAGTGCACCCAGCACTATCTATATGACCAACTCAACCCCAATGCAGAGATGTCTGGAGACCATGTCAGTCTTTGTCAATGTCCATCCTTTGATAGTGACATCAAAGTGTTCAACTCCATGTTGGCCACCTACTATGCACCAAGCAATCATTCAGGACATGGCAGAATGCACTGCAATGTCATACACTGAACACCATGGTGGCAGGGTGGGCCAGTGCAATATGATTGCATATTGGTAGACAATGGCAGTTCAGAGAATGATCCACTCTGTGGTCTGCTCATCACTTGTTGTTTACTCTTTTTCTCATTCAAGTTTCAGGGCCATTCACACTCCTGTGTTCTGGTTGAATGGTTTCTACCATTTGGTGATGCACTGGACCCCTTGACAGGAATGTGGGTTGTAGTGCTGGAGGTAAATGCTGCTGGACACCATGTCTGAGCAGTCATTTCTGTCAAATCTATTCTGTGAGGCATTCATCTGATTGGAGTGTTTGGTGCAGATTTTTTACCCATTACATTTCACTTCTTGCAATCTCTCAATGCATTTAATGCATACTATGTCAACAGGTATATAGATCATCACTCATACATGATTTGTTAATTTGAATGAATACAATATCTGTTGTGACATTCTGTGGACACTGAACAATTTATGGCAGTCTGTGGTAGCCTGTGTGTACTGAAGAAACTGTGGCAGTCTGCAGTGGTCTGTACAGAATAGTGCGCACTGGCCAACAGGTCTGACAGTGTGGACAGTCAGTCAACAGTCCATGCAGACATCACAGTTGGGGTGACAAATTTCTGATGTTGCTTGTAGAGTTGTCTTACCAGCAATACCTGTTTTACTACTCCACTTATTGAGCCAGCAGGTCCAGGACTGTTAACAGATCAAAGCACATGACAGACAACAAGAAACACCATCATTATGACCATCTTCTAGTTTGCTTAGTAGATTCATTCCAATGTTTCTGGTAGTACTATAGGAGTGCATGCTGCCATCAAAACCATGGCCCTACTACCAAGGATGATTGCACCAATAAAGTAAAACCTATATTTTACATGAGTACTAGAGCAATTGTTGAGACAGCTGTGGCCCCAAGCACTGTGTAGCCCAGCCCTGTAAGCTGACTTCAGAGTCAAGGCTGGGTGCATGTTATCAGCCCCATCATAAACAAAGAAAGAAAAGAACAAAACAATAGATATACCCTTTCCAATGTCCCATGCAAGATGTCAGAGACTGTTTAAAGAGTGGAAGGTGCAAAAGGTGCAGCCAGGATGAATTTACCCACATACTTCAGCATGTTCAGGTAGCCCTGCAATGAGCTTGACTATATGCATGCTATCAAATGTGCCAGGTGCGAAAGAGGTATGCCAAAGAGAGACTGTAGAGCACTGATCACAACATCAACAAACATTAATGGTATTCAAAGTGCACTAAGCCAACAACTAAGCCAGCAAATTTTGCTTGCTAAACTTTTCCTAAGATTTTCACCATGTAGATAATTCAAGCAGAGTTTTAAAGCATGCCTCCCCTCCACCCAAACCTTTGATGTTCTGCTCACCTACAGGTCAAGTCTGTAACTATCATGGCCAGGGCCTCCTCTGTTGCTAGTACAAGAAATCCCCCCCCCTGTCCATCCCCCAACCCTCCCCCAATACTGTGTCATCCAAGCCCAAGCTGAGGGCTTCTTGGGGCAAAACTATTTACTGGGAGAGGTATACCCACCTTACCAGAGAGCTACTGACTTGGCTATGGGAAAATCCAGCAGATCATGCCATCCTATTCAACAAGAGGAGAGATCAGAGTGCCCTGGGAAATGCAAGGCCCCATGCCTGCCTGCAAAAAAAGAGATCAATGCTGTTATTGCTCAAGTGATCTTCTCTAAAGATCTTGTATATGGGGCAGTTTATGCAACCCAGACTGAGAGGTTTGCTTCAGCGGTGGGTAGCCACCTGGCAAGGTATGCCTTATCACATTGTTCCAAGAGATTAATTCAAAATCCTTGTTACAGCTTGAAGGCCAAATATCAGCAACAAGCATCAAGGTTTAAGTCCACTGGTGAAGGCATCAATCCTAACAATCCAGCTTATTCCAACCTTCTGGGTATGTACCATGGTCCTCCTCTGTATACCATGTGGCTGATCTCACACATGGTTTTTATTTTAGAGGAAGTTGTCACAGAGTTCCCATTCTGGGAGGAATGCAATTGCATGTGGCATGGGAACCCTGCTTATGATGCAAGATTATTTAATCCAGCTCCTGGCACAAACTGGATGGGCAACTTTCTTTCCATTGTGAATCAGGGTGGTACTACTGTGACTGTGACTCCTAGTGGCTCTACTGCAACTGCAACTGTGACTCCTACAGTCACTGATATGCAAGTCCAACAACCAACCAACCAGAACAATACAATGGCAAGGGGGCAATCTGGAGGTCAAACCTTTTGGGAGTTTTATGCTAATCAACCCTCAGGGTACTTCTGGACCTTTCACAGGTGAGGGTGCAAGTATCAATGACTTTTCTATGGGTGGGATAGAGCAAGGGGAGGATGAGGATGAAGAGGGGGAGGTATGTGAGGGAAGGGAGCCTGGGGAATGCCCTCAGTTCATGTCAGTTAATTCTGAACTAACATTCAATGTTGGTGCAGTGAATGACACCCACCACATGAGTTGCTATAAAACTCCTCACTCATGTTACTAATGGGAACCTTAGCCTGTTGATTCTACCCATATGATATTGCCATTCAACAAGCCTGGCCATTGAACACTGTCATGGGACAACCATTCAGCATTCCAGATGTCTCCATATGCCAGATCCCCCCCCTCTGTTATCTCTACATCTACAATGACCTCTGCTGTCAGTGATGGTGCTAACTGGCACCAGGTGGCAAGCTCTGAGACCTCTCAAATGAAGGGGAAAAACATGCTTACTCAGCTCAAGGCTGATTTCAACAAGCAGCTTGGTGAGTTAAATGGAAATTCCTTGGATCAGTGGTGCCAGTTAACTGCACTCAAGACCGAATGCAAAGTGGTCAAGACCCAGGCTTATATGTGCAACAAGGAGATAGCTCATTTGGAAGCAGATGGTGAGAAGGAGTGCAGGGAGGCTCAGAAGATCCATGAGTGTTTCATGGAGAGAAAAAAGTTAGACATACAATACCTCAAGGAGCAAGGGGAGAATCTCCATCTCAGAGTCCAACTGGCAATGCTCCAAGCTCAACCAACCTCTCTTCAGACCCCAGGTCCCAAGTTTTCAATGGCACCTCATCCTCCACCACCACCATGCTGTCTCTTTATCCCACCTTGCCTTCCACTGCCTTTGATGATCTCATTGCAGATGCCTGAATACCAATCAACCTCATACATGCTGTATTGCTCTTCCCCCCAATCCCCTTTGTTTTTCTATTTTCTACAACTATAACCTATGTACTTGCTAGTACAATGTATGTGTGCATGTGGAATGAAATGGTCATCTTTCCTGTGATTCAAAGTGCTTTGTACATGCACATGTGGTGTAGTCTACATGCAAATCCCACATTGCTTGAATAGCCTTTCCATCAGCATGAGGCAATGTTGCTGCCCTGGTGTCCCCTGTTGTTCCTCACCTACATCCTCATCCCCACCACCATCCAACTCCTTGCCTTCCCTTATTGCCCAGTGCATCATTCCTTCGCCAAGCATATCCCTCCATTCACTCTCAAAGAAAATGACCATGTTGTGTAGGATCATGTAGCACATGATCCAATACACAGTAACATGTAAGTCACTGTCCTTATTCACCTTGAGCCGAAGCTCTTGAAATGACTGAAAGCGGCCTTTGAGGGCTGCAAATGCATGTTCCACCCTTACTTGCACCTTTGAAACACTGAGAACAGTATTTCTGCACAACTGGCCTGCAGGTGCACACCTTTGATAAATATTGATTATATATATTCTGTCTATGCATCAGGCTACCTCCACTTGGCTTCTTGAAAGGCATGACACACCACTTCTCTGTCAGATAGGCAGAGTCTGCCCCAATCCAATGACATGGGGGGATGAAGTTCACAGGATCCTGGTACATTCTTGTTCCTTGGAAGGTAAATGCATTATGCACACTACTGGGTTGCCCCAAGGCATAATCCACTATGCTGAGGTTATGTGTCATGATTACAGCCTTCGCATTTCAAGTGAGCATTCATTCCCAATCTGACATTTAAACCTACCTGACAATTTAGTGAAAAACACAGTTTCTGATCATAAAATGCCACATGATTCAGTCACTTGTAAGCCTAAAAGTGGGTCATCCAATGTGTACATTTTGTCCTGAAACTGGGACTAACCGACATTGGTCCCTAGGGGTGGGTAGGCCAGACTGTGAAGGTGGGGTCAGCCAACCTGGCTGGAGGGCAGACCCACTGCCTGAAAGTGGGGTTGGCTGACCCGGCTGGAGGGCGGACCCACTGCCTGAAAGTGGGGTCGGCTGACCTGGCTGGAGGGTGGACCCACTGCCTGAAAGTGGGGTCAGCTGACCTGGCTGGAGGGTGGACCCCCTGCCTGAAAGTGGGGTCAGCCGACCTGGCCACCTCCTGGAAGTGGGGTTGGCCGACATGATTGGAGGATGGACCCACCTCCTGGAAGTGGGGTCTGACATGATGTTGTCATGACATCATTGTGGCTGTGTACCCCATGCCATCACTTTCCCACCATCAAAGCGGAGTTTGAATTTCTCATTGATGTGACTGTGTTTATTATGTACACAGCTGTATTCAGCCCAACAAATGGCCCCTGATGGTATTAAATATCAATATGCTTACCTAATTAGATGTAGCGGAGTTTCAATCTGATTCTGTCATGACATCATTGTGGCTGTGTACCCCTTACCATCACTATCCCACCCTCAAAGTGGAGTTTGAATTTCTCATTGATGTGGCTGTGTTTATTATGTACACAGCTGTATTCAGCCCAACAAATGGCCCCTGATGGTATTAATATCAGTATGCTTATGTAATCACTTGGGGCAGAGTTTCAATCTAATTTTGTCATGACATCATTGTGGCTGTGTACCCCTTACCATCACTATCCCACCCTCAAAGCAGAGTTTGAATTTCTCATTGATGTGGCTGTGTTGACATATGCACAGCTGTATTCAGCTTCACAAATGGCCCCTGATGGTATTATTATCAGTATGCTTATGTAATTAGTTGTGGCAGGGTTTCATTACAAATTTGACATGACATCATTGTAGCTGTGTTTTCATTACCAATTAACTACTGGTCCGCTTTTGTGATTACATAAAAGTAATGTTGTGCTGTGCAGTGTGCCATCAGCATGTCACGTGACATGCTTCACTGCACATGCTGCGACCAGTGGCTGATGACCAAACAGCAGCAAACAGAAAATTTTATAAAAGATGCACTTCAACACACCGCTCTTCATCTTTCTCTCTCCCATGTTCTT